TTAAACACTCAAGTCACTCATCATAACTGCTTTATATGAGTATACTAAATCAGTAGCTCATGTTTTTTTTTACAAGGAATCCACAATAATTTTATAAGTACAGAAGACTTGAATTGAACTCTCAAGAGTCCTCAAGATATATATATTCAAAATAAATATATACTAGCATTCAAAAGATTGGGGATTGTAGGAACTATTTAAATATCATACTCCAATTAACTTCCTCCAAAACTGTTTTCTGTTTGAAAAATATTTTAAAATATCACTAACCCTAACCCGTCAATTAATCCTGTAATGGCAAAGCTACTCCAGTCTTTAGTTTCAAATGATTGACACATGGGTATATAATTATTTGATGCTTAAGAAATTTCTTCAAAACTTGACCACTTGACCCCACTGAACCCTTATTTTGAACAAAGCTATGCTTAATGTTTGTAAAGTTTAACTATTCTATATTGGGGGTTTTTGAGTCTAGGAAAAAAGCAAGCAGGATTGTACACTTACCTCCAGCACACGTCCACTGATGTATCTGTCGCACGTTTCACACTTAATCCCAAACTGAGCATGGTAGTCTGACTCACAGTAAGGAACGCCGTCTCTGCATGCATAAAAATTAAGACTCACATAAATAAACACATTCTTATGCTGTGACCAAAAATACAACACAAGTGTTTCATTTGCGAAAAACAGAAACAAATAAACTTCAATTTTCATTATTTTTGATGCAAAAGTGACAAAACTCTATACAATGACTTGCCTAATTACCTTAACTTGCCTAATTAACCAAGTAAATCCTTTAAATGTCACTTTAGGCTAAATGCTAGTATCTTAAAAAAATATCTATAGTAAAATATAATGTACTGTCATCATGGCAAAGATAAAAGGCTTTAGTTATTGAGTTTATTGGGTTTAGAAATGTGTTGAACTGTAGATGTATCAGCTCAGTTATTTTTGGTGAAGTGTTATATTGCCCATTGTGTTAACATAAAATGACTGTCACCAGCACTTTAGCCTATCGCTTTGCCTCTGTCACTTTGTCTGCTCTTTGTTGAAGGCAGAAGCAGGGCTCCGGCAGCTCCTCCGCACACCGACACAGCGGATACAGAGTCTGACAGGTGAACAGCAGGCGTTATTGAAGGCCTTATGTAGTGTTTTCCTGATGACTACAGCCAGTTTGGAAGAATAAGTGCAACAGTACCTATATGGTTTCAAAGCTGCAAATACCACCTCAAAATAACACAAGATCACTATAAGCCAGCATTTAAGATATGTTCTGTTTTTGACTTAATAAATAAAAGAATACAGTCCAAAATTATTATATCTAAAAAATTATATTATAAATATATATATACAAAATTATATATCTAAATACATAAAAAGGACTATTCAAATATTGTTAAATGTCACTTTGTTGCCCATAAATGTAGTGAATTTATGTTTAATACTGAGAAGGCAATTTAAAACTTGCAGCTATAACTATATGCATGGGGTGGCGCTGTGGAGCGTGCAGTGGAAACTGGATTTACTGTATTTGATTGGCTGTCATTCAGCACAGTGAAGTCTGGAATTGCTTAGTTCAAAATGATAAACGCTGCAAGTTGTCACCGCCGCATTGATTATTCATATGAAATGCAAACATCAAACTTCTCTTTATTGGATGGTTGAATGAAGACCATATATTTCTGACAAAGAAGATTCATTACCATGTACCCTAATACACCTGATTGAGCGAGAAGACCACAAAACTGATCTCAAAGCACTGATTATGAAGTGAGAAACTAAAAACTGTAACAGCATGAATAGAGCATAATCATAGAAGCTTGTTTTCAAACATGGCATGTCAGTGGCTTTGTTTACATGCACTTTCATAATTAGAAGATAATTCTGGATTTTTCATTTCATTTTTTTTTTTTGGGTGGGCTTGTAATAAATGCTTTTTTAAAAATTACTTTTTTTGCTCACATTTTTTATGTTTTCAACAAAATAATATTAGGATAGTGTGGCACGGTGGCACACTGGGTAGCACAATCACCTCACAAAAAGGTTGCTGGGGCTCGAACCAGCGACCTTCTTGCTGTGAGGCAATCGTGCAACCCACTGCACCACCGTGCACCACCCTAACATCCTTCTCATTAAACGAAATAAAATAAATTAATAAATGAATGAAATAATGTATTTAGATAAATGTGTGTATTGTGTGTGTGATTGTATTTGTTCTACACAGTGAACATGCAATTTGTTTGGTACAAATTTGTTTAATCATGCTAAAATAGACTAACTAATGAAAACCCATTACGTTATATACTCCACAAAGGTGCACTTGCAATATTATGCTATAACATCGTTACATTATTATAAAATGCACTTAAGATGACAAAACAAAGCTTATCACATTTATTTCTGTGACGATTATACAATGCACACTAAAATATTGTTGTAATTAGGACAGTCCTCCCCTCAACTCTGTGAAACACCATGAAAATTTTCTGATTTATAATTTTTTTTATAATGTCATTTATTTCCTGTGAGGGTAAAAGTGAAACTTTATCAGCCAATTCTCCAGGTTTAATGTCACTTGATATTTGAAAGATTGTATATAAACAGTGTAATATTCCAATGCAAATTTATCTAACCATCCACCCATTAAATACAGGTCAAGTACTGTATTTCTGGAACTGAATGTGCAATGACTGGAAATAAATAAAATACCAATTACCCTGAATTAAATCTATTTTTTTCAATAGTCATAAAATGAAGCAATTAAGTAATTTAATGCAAGCTCCAACATGAAAAACAGGCCGCTTTGAACAATGTGTGTGAGTGTGACGTGTGTCTGAAAGAAAGAAGCAGGTCAGGTGAACAGAAGGACTCACTTGCTGATATACTCTCCGGTCAGGACGAGGCCGCAGGTCTGACACCTGAAGCAGCTGACGTGCCACTGCTTCTCCAACGCCAGCAGAGATTGACCCTGTTTGATCTCCTCCTTACAACCTGCACAGTCTAAAAAGAGCCATGGGGAAGGGAAGAAAGCTTATATAATGGACTTAAGGTTCAAAAGTCTTTCCAGCATCCAGTCAGCCTTGATATATTTATTAACTTTTTTCCTGCTCCAATGTGAGAGTAACTATCATTTAATCAGTGTAATGTTAAAAAAAAAATGGGTGCAATGATGTGGCATTATTCGAATAATAGAATTAAGAAATTACTGTTAGCAAACAGCAAAAAAATGTGACAAGTCGTTCTGCTTTATTACACTCACCGGCTATTTTATTAGGTCCACCTGTCCAACTGCTCATTAATGCAAGTTTCTAATCAGCCAATTACATGGCAGCAACTCAATGCATTTAGGCATGTAGACATGGTCAAGACGATCTGCAGCATTTCAAACTGAGCATCAGAATAGGGAAGAAAGGTGATTTAAGTGACATTGAACCTGGTATGGTTGTTGGTGCCCGATGAGCTGATTTGAGTATTTCAGAAACTGCTGATCTACTGGAATTTTTCATGCACAACCATCTCTAGGGTTTACAGAAAGTGGTCCGTAAAGATCAAATGTCCAGGGAGTGGCAGTTCTGTGGGCGTAAATGCCTTGTTGATGCCAGAGGTCAGAGGAGAATGGCCAGACTGGTTCCAGCTGATAGAAAGGCAACAGTATCTCAAATAACTACTCGTTACAACTGAGGTATGCAGAAGAGCATCTCTGAATGCACAACATGTCCAACCTTAAGGCGGATGGGCTACAGCAGCAGAAGACCACACCGGGTGCCACTCCTGTCAGTTAAAAACATGAAACTGAGGCTACAATTCACACAGGCTCAACAAAATTGGACAATAGAAGATTGGTAAAACGTTGCCTGGTCTTATGAGTCTCAATTTCTGCTGCGACATTCAGATGGAAGGCACAGAATTTGGCATCAACAACATGAAAGCATGGATCCATCCTGCCTTGTATCAACGTTTCAGGCTGGTGGTGGTGGTGTAATGGTGTGGGGAATATTTTCTTGGCAAGCTTTGGGCCTATTAGTACCATAAAGGCAGTTCTAAAGAGAAAAGTGGATCCAACCCGGTACTATTAAAGTGTTACGATAACCACCAGCGAACGCTCTCCGGAGATCCAGGTTTCCACTATACCAGAACTACACTTCCGTATATCCCAGGACTACATTTTCATACATGCACTTCTTCCAGACACGCACACCTGTTCATTCAACTATCCTGATTACAATCACCAGCTGAACCTTGTCACAGACTGATAGCCTACCATACATAAGCCACCCATGAACTCATCCAGTTGGCCGAGTCTTGTTAGCTGTACCAGCAACATTACAACGCGTTTATCCTTGTCTTGTTTATCCGTGCTTAGACCCTTGCCTTGTGTTTCCTGTCATCCTGTGTAGCCGCCTGCCTTACGACCTATTGCCTGTACCTTGATTACGACCCTGGATTTGCCCGCACATACCTGTTCATATTATTTGACCATTGCTTTCCTGATTGTGAATAAACCTGCATATTGGATCTTACCTTCTGTTGTTGGTGTTACTCCCAGTCTTTACATAAAGTATACCTAATCAAATGGCCGGTGAGTGTATAATAAATATTCTATATGTAATATACTGTAATATGTGGAACACAATGACAAAAATAATATTAAGCAAAATCATCTCCAAAAGAGCTTTGGCCACAGATAACAAGACATTAAAAAACCAAGAGCAACTTTAAACACACATGAATTATTTTCAGCACAATCTTTTAATTTTTTTTATTAGCTTGGTCCCTTTATTATCAGGGGTCACCACAGCGGAATGAACCGTCAACTTATCCAGCATATATTTTACACAGTGGATGCTCTTCCAGCTACAACCAATCACTGGAAAAGCACAATCTTATGATTTTAAGTAATTTGTTTCAATTGTTTTAAATGGCAGCTCCTCAAACCAGAAATCTCATAATCTGAAACTCAATGTGGAAAAAGCTGAAGAAATAACAGAAGACATACAAATCCATAAGTCTGTATGAAGGCTCAGCTAGGGTGGGATTCCTCTTAAAGAAACACACACTTTATATACTAGGTAGAGCAGTCCACTATGCATGACTATAACAAGATTTTGAGCACTAAAAGGTCCGTGCATCATTTGTTTTCCTGCATTTTGTGCATGTGCTTTTTCACTTCACCTTCAAAATCAATAGGGTCAATCTCTAGACAGAGAGGAGCTACAGCACAGATCACTCTTCCATTTCAACACTTTCTTTCTTCTTCTTTGGGTAGCATGTGATACAAATGTTTAAGTAGAACATAGGATGATCGTCTCTATGTATAACTTTCATGATGTAACTTGTTTTGGTGTAATTTAAGGAAGTATTTCCAGAGTTTGACAGACTTTTAGAAATATAATCTGATCTAGTTAAGCTCAGACACTTAAACCTGATTATTAACACATTGCCAGGACTATTAACAGGACGTCTAACAGGATGAAACTTAACAGGATGGAAATAAAAAGTTAAAGTTAGCCACTGCCCAGGGGAGGATTGAGTGTTAGATTTAAAGTTCTATCTTGAAGTTAATTGAGATGTTGCTGCTGTAACCATTATCATGCTGGGTTCACACCGAATGCAAAATTACTGTAAGTATTTGTGTGAGTAAGTTACAAACAAAGTCAATGCAAACTTGTGAATGGAGGCAATTAGGCACTGAGCAGCGGAAGTAAGCAGAAAAACTTTACATTTTTTCAGTAACCTGGGTCAAACTCTTCCAGTAAATTGTATGCCGTTACAAAATCATCGCACTTAGGGTCTGTTTTCTTTATCCAATACATATATTCATATATATGTATGTATATATGTATTATTATTTTTTGTTTGTTTGTTTTGTTCCCACTGTTAAATGTTCCAAAAAAAATCTATGAAAACTAAATATATATAAAAAACTGCTCACATTATTGCATTATAAGCAAATTGGGGAAAGGTTAAGGTTATTAGTTAACATAACTTATACTGTTTTATAGTATATTAGATTTTAATAACTTTAACTCAGTTACTAGTAACTAATAGCTTTTAACAATTAAAGGTAATCTTATATATGCAGCGACATTGATGCGATCCAAGACCTGTGAAGATATGATGAAGGTATCGTTGATTTTAAACCAGGCCGTATCCTGAGCTGTGACGGTCATGGAGGAGCGGAGAGCATGAGATTGAATCCAGAAAGACCCCAGTGACAGACGAGTCTCCGCATTGATCCCATAGGTTAGCCTGATCACCCGCTGGTGACCTACTCACATCTGCAGCTTCTCCACGATGAACGTCCAGTGTTCTCCAGCCACCGGCTCCTAGAATGCAGTTCTGCACAAGAAGTTTGGCCAGAGGAGAAATGGTCGTGCCCAACTAACCCTGGTTTCTCTTGAGTTTTTTTCCTTCACTTTAGTCAATTGGTGACGTTTGTTCCTTGCCACTGTCGCCACTGGTTTGCTTGGTTTGGGACTTGTGGAGCTTCACATCAATGGATTTGCTCTTCACTGTTTGGACTTTCAGCAGTGAAATTTAAACCACACTGAACTGAACTAAACTGAACTTCAACTCTGAAAACTGGACTGATACAGTTTCAATTTACTACAACTTTTATGTTAAACTGCATTGACACAATCTACATTGTAAAAGCACTATATACTGTAAACAAAGATAAACTAAATTGAATTAAAATATGAACAATTAACCTGCAGTTAAATAGTTTATAGGTGATGTCTACGTTTAATGAAGTATATTATACAGTATGTGATTTCCTCCTTTAAAACCACTAATATTTCTGTGACAGTGGTAGTGGAAGAAAAAATCCTTACAATAATATTACAATTATATACTGTATAATGGAAAAACATGACGGAAATGACCCAGGCTAGTTCAGACTCTCTGTATTTGTTCAACACAAGAGCAAACACAGAGACACAGAGCTCAGACACTCTTCACCTCTGCCCTTTATAAAAACATCACAGGATTCTGTCTGTGTTTACCCAGACGCCACACACTCTCTAATCTGTTGAACAGGGGTCTGTCCTCTCCCCTCAGAGACATGCGAGTCAATATGGCCATATTCTAGCTGACAGGCTTTCAATAAATTAATACAAATACAGTATACAGTAGACAGCTGAAAACACTCAAAGAGAATATGTATTATCCTATATCCACTTCAAAACAATAATAAATAAAAATGACCACATGATATGCAAATGTCATGTCAAGGGGTGGGACTTACAGCTGGGCCCGTGGATTTTGATTGGCTCATTTGGATTAACCAGTTTGATGGAACACTGCTGACAGACACATTCTTTACCACTGAACGTCACTCTGTCCCCAATTGGAAAAGGTTTCCTACAGAGGAAAGACAGACAGACAACATAGTATTAAACACACATACTGTATAATAACGACAGCCTAAAATTTGTCATAAACCATGATCCACTCAAATAAATCGAAATGTTTAGAAGGGAAACTAAATTATATAGTAGAGAAAACTGCTGGCACGTTCTTACAATGTAAGCAAATCCTGACCTACATACTAAAGTGTTAATATTTCAACAGCAATGGCAAGAGTTTCATTCACATTTTTTTCACTACAGTTAAAAAACAGTTACAAAATATTTCTATTTGAAATGAACACTGTTTTTTTATCTTTATATTATAATGTTTTTTGTACTGTTTTCAGCAAAAAGGAACATTTCCTGAGCAGAAAACATCCCTTTGTTATTTTATAGTTTATAGTTTGAACTGTAACATAAAGTCTCATAATGAAAAATCTCTGTTCATTGACAAGTACAGTTAACGGGAGCCAAGCAAATAAGCATTTCCTAATAACAGAGAGCAAAACAGCAGGAGTTTTGTGAGAGGAAGCCCAACTGGGTTCAGGTAACATTTAACCCCAAATACAGTTAAGGAAGGCCACATTAGCCACGAGCATAAAACACGGACCAGAGCCAAGCCATAATGAGAGCTTAACTCTGACTAAGCACAGCCTTCCCTTTAGACACACATAAAAGAGACATTTTATGCCTCTTTTTACAAGATGTAATATAAGTCTCAGGTGCCCCAGACTGTGTCTGTGAAGTTTCAGCTCAAATGCCCCATATTTTAGTATGCTATGTTAAAGATGTGGAAGCAAAAACACACTGTTTTTGTGCATGTGTCTATAAATGAAAACAAGCTGCTGCTCCCTACTTCTTTTCCAGAAGAATGCGGAGCGTTTACAGCCTGTGTCTCGGATACTCTTAAGAAATAACCATCTGCCATGTGTGTTGCACTTATGTGACATTGTAGTTCTTACTCATTGTGGAAGTGATCAGTGTACTTCAATATTAAACTTAGGTTCTCTGTAGTGTCTCATTCAACATAAACTCTTGATTGCAATAAATAAATAAATAATTAAATATTAATAATAAAATCTTTAGATATATTTTACAATAATTAGCTTAAGAAAAAAAATTATTCAACATAGAATTTATTACACATACATTTTGAGGCTACCAATAGCAGTTTGGGTATCTAACATGTATAGGTGTAAAAGTAGAAAGCAAAAAATTCAAGCATGTTGATACAAATGACACAAAGGTGAGTAAATTATTACATCTATTTATCTAAAATCTTTTTATTTTTGTTTTAAAGTGCACCTATTTTACTTCTTTTACAGGATGTAAGATAAGCCTTTGGTGTCTCCAGAATATGTCTAAAGTTTCAGCTCAAAATACCCATCAGATTATTTATTATAACCTCCGGAATCTCTGATTTTGGTGTCTGACTACAGTGTAACTGTTTTTGTAGACTGTGGTTTTAATTGCAAATGAGCTGCTTCCCATGTGTGTTCTGCATTCCATTAGATAAACAGTACAGGGACAGAGACAGACTCGTATGAAGCTGAAATACAGCTCATTAGTCAAAAATAACAAGTTTATTTCATATATTTGTGATGGAGTTTATTCAAGCCTTTCTGATATGATGAGCCTCACATAAATGCCGTTTGCAGTATACACACAAATATTAGCATTTACTGACACCATGCGGCCATGGTGATTATAGCGGTTAAGAATTACATAGCAATTTTACTCTCTTTCTTACAAACATGCTCTGTATTAAAAACATTTAAAACTTATAAAACTTATAGAAATCCCAGTTGTAACAAATATTTTAATCCCAGTTTATTTGCCAAATGGGCATGTGTATACATGTTATTATAAAAACCTGTCAATCAATTCGGTGGGCGAGGAAAACGGCACTCCTATGTCTGGTTGCAGTGGGCCTCAAAACCACTGGGATTCGGGTCCTATTTTACCGTCAGTACATTTTTAAAAAGAGACTTGTTGGGTTTATATCACTCGAATATAACTGTGGACACACTATTCACACTGCTCTGTCCAAACAGCTTACAAACGTTGTTTTTTTATTATAGGTGCCCTTTAAGTTGTTTACATCATATTATAAATATGTGATAGGATTTAATTAGAATAAGGAGGATCTCTCCTCATGTTAGTTTTGGTGGTAATGTAGCTTTTCTGCACCAGATAGTCAATTATAATCCAACATGGGCTGGAAATACACCGTAGTTAAAGCTGGTCTTCTCTTCCTCAGGCAAATCTTATAACCAAATATCTCTACTGACAAAATCTGATGGGATATTCCATCCTATATATACGCTTATCTCTTGACAATATTATATATACAGTAGTTAAATGCATGTGTCTCTTTAGAGCACATGCCCACATGTCTCATGACAGCTCCCATAATCCATTGTGTCCACAGCTCTGCTTTATCTTCTCAGTAATCAGCATGACTGGAAGCTTCTACACTACAAGACAAATCCTATTACAGTAGACTATTCCTCTACTAATGCAGCAATTATGAAACAATCCATTTACATTGAACCATGACCTTAGAGGAGCACCGGCTCTGCCTCTACAAGATTACAGAACAGGTCCTTTAAAAACAGATCACGTTTCATTTCTGTCACACCCCCACGGCTAATTTTGATAGGCTTTAACCTTAAAAAGAACATTTACATAGAAGTGGGAATCATTTTTGCACCTCCATATGCTTAAAGCATTTCTAATTTGATTGTACATGCAATATTATATTATACTAAATTAAATTAAATTAAATTGTATTACATTAAATTACATTATATTATATTATATTAAAATACATTAAATTATATTATATTATATTATATTATATTATATTATATTATATTATATTATATTATATGTGAAAAATCGATACATGATCCATTGTTTTTTTATTTTTTACATTTAGCTGATAAACTGTATTTAATTTGATTTACTCATGTCGCTTGATCAAGACTTTAAAACAACATGGTCCCCTGTTTTTGTCCCCAATTTCTATTTAACGGAGGGAAAATTTCTTCAATACATTTCTAAACATAGTAGTTTTAATAACTAATTTCTAATAACTGATTTATTTTATCTTTGCCATGATGACAGTAAATAATATTTGACTTGATATTTTTCAATACACTTCTATACAGCTTAAAGTGACATTTAAAGGCTTAACTGGGTTAATTAGGTTAGCTAGGCAGGTTAGGGTAATTAGGCAAGTTATTATATAACAATAATTTGTTCTGTAGACTATTGAGAAATTTTATAGCTTAATAATTTTGACGTTAAAATGGTTTTAAAAAAATAACTGCTTTTATTATGGCCAAAAAAAACAAATGAGGCTTTCTCCAAAAGAAAAAAACATTATCAGACATACTGTGAAAAATTTCTTTGCTCTGTTAAACATTATTTGAAAAATATTTTAAAAAGAAAAGAAATTCAAGGGGGGCTAATAATTCTGATTGCAACTGTATATTTTTTGTTAATGTGACATTTAAATTTGGGTTTATTTCAAATCATGCACACTCACATCTTCTCCTCTCTCAACTAAACTAAACCCCAGAGAGTTTGATACCACATGTGAAGTAGCGATCAATGCAAACGTGAGCAGGATGTTGTAACATGAGTCAAAGCGGAAGAAATGAAGAGGTTTTGAAGCTCAAAATATGCAACAACGTCAAGAAAGTAAGCAGAGAAGGGAGGAAAAGGCGTAAATGGAGAAGCTGCTGAGACCAGAGGTGAATATTTACCTCACAGACTGAAGAGTTAATGGAGTTAAAGGCAGCAATGGCAAATCACATTCCCTTGTCCTTCATACATGGCCTGTTCTCAGGCTGACAAGCAAGAAAATGAGAGGTACTGTAAGACATCCCTGCAGGGACGCATTATCTGTCTGCCTAACACTGTTATTTGAACCCCATTGCTTTTTGTAGTGAAAAGATGGGTTTGTTAGAATTGGATGTGTGTTTTTTTTTACATTTACTGACTCTTAGAGATAACCGGTTTCAAGGTTTACTGTGGTTTGGAAGAGTCACGGTTTTAAGACTGCTAACATTTTCTGGTAAACGGTTTCTATGGTGTAAATTCTTTACATTGTATTTTTTTATTAAAATTGTATTTAGTTTTTTAGGACAACAGTATCTACAGCAAAAATGCCTCCACATCAAAAGCTGCTGGTCAGCCCACGATTCTGATTCTACGACCAAACTGAAATCAAAAACATTTTTTTTGTTTCGGCTCACCTCTGTTCCAGACTTGCATTCAAACTGCAATGCAATAGTTTTGACAATACGTTTGACTGTACTATTTTAGATACAATTGAAAGCAGCGTTTTAAAACACTCATGTCCACTTTCATTTTCAATAATTTCGCAAAAGTTGGTCATCCAAACTGAAATGACTGACACGCTTTCTTCCCTGTACTGCAGATGCGTCAAGATGTAAAACACTTGGACCTGCATCATTTCTGCCTGGTGTTTATTATTTTCCAGCTCCTTAATGCAGTGTGGAAGTATGTTGCACAGAGTTGATCAAATGGACCGACAGTGAGGTGAAGGTATAGGTGTTGTTACGGGTATCAAAGAAGTATAAAGTTGTAAAAGCTAGCAAGAATATAGGCTAGAAGTAGGGTTGGCCGGTAAGTGATATTATATCGAATCGTGATAAAACCCATAGATAACGATGATAAGCTCTTGACATTTTTATTCTTTATTAATCTAAGAGCCAATCACACAGCACAAATGTGCAACAACGAGAATCTAAAAGTGTGTTTAAATTAGAGATGCACTGAATTTTCGGCAGCCGAAAATTATTGGCTGAAAATAGGTTGTGCTATTTAATGTACTCTCTAATTTTTGTGGCTTAAGTCATTGTTGGGATACTCTTAAATTTGGAAGCTTTAAGAACTTATATCGAGATATACCAACCCAAGCTCATTCTAAAAACGTAGCCCCGCAGACATTTCTGGAGACCGCGATTTACGTGGCCGGAG